TAAGTGAAAACTTTTCCTAAATTTGTTTTTAGGAAGGTTTCCTTCATATTTAGGAAAATCTTCCTAAATAAATAAAAATCTTTCCAAAATTAGCAGTTCAAGAAGTTTCTTTCATATTTTGAAAGGTCTTCCTAAATAATTGAGAATTCTTCCTAAATTTGTATTTTATGAAAGTTTCATTCATATTTAGGAAGGTCTTTAAAAACATTTTAAAAACATATGAGAATCCTTCGTAAATTTGTTTTTTTATGAATGTTTTCTTCATATTTTGGAAAGTCTTACTAAATAAGTGACAATCCTTCATATTTCGTTTTTCAGAGGCAAAGTAGATTTCTGTTAATAAATTCAACTTCAGCAAAATTCTCTTTAGATCATGTTTCTTTCTTGATCTGTGACAATACAATGTCACTATACAGTATACATGTATGAATACATAGGAGGTATACATAATACACAGTATAAATCAACGTATATATGTACAAGAATTACGCGCTGTTATGTGAAAATAGAGAGCCTTGACGGCCGACTCTGCGGGGCAATCCAAAATTCTGGTAAGCCCGGATTTGGCCACCTAGCGTGGCTGTAACGATCACCATTCCCCAAGCCGTTGGCTGAACCGCATGCGCTCCATGACTCCCGCTACTATCAAACCAAGACCAAGAAGAAATCCGAGATGAGATCGATATAGAAGGCGAATCCCCGGGTTTTAATGATTCTCCTGTGTTCTCTGTTTCATTTTGCGGAATATGCGTCGCGGTTTCATCTTCTTGATGTTGTTCTGTTGCTCCATCCGCGGTGTTGTCATTGTTTTTCTTAGGTAATGGTGGGAGACCGGGTTTTTTACCCGTGGTTGCGTTTTCCGGTGTAGTAACAGTAGTTGAGGATTTTTTCGGGTTCTTTTTTGATTGTGTGGGTGGTAGTTCGCCTTTTACTACACCGTGCCACGGGATCGCGACAGAAACGTCTTTGCAGGGGAAGGTTTCGTAAGAAGTACACATGGCTACGGTTTTTCTACCGGTGATTCCTAGTCGTGGCTCCTCGTGTTTCCACACGTAAACCTGTGAGTCTTCGCTTGCGCAAACAATGTGTTTTGCATCTAGCGTGTAAGATGCTGTCATTTGGCTGCTTGTGTTTTTGAAGCCTGGTTTAAGGATCAATAGGTAGGAGAAATTAAAAATTTACTTTTGTGAAATTGGATGAAGTAGCGAATAAATTGTTTCGATTACATACCTCTGAACTTTTGAATTAGTTCAGTACCGTCAAGAATCCGAATGCGTGAATCAGCAGAAGTTACAAGCACTTCTGATGGATTAATCGGCGAAAACTGTTAATGCAAACTCAATGGTAAGTACGAATCCTCTAGGCCAAAAAACTAACATAAAAACTTTGCAAAATAAGAGTGAAACCTGGAAAGCTGTGATCTTTTTAGCTTGAGCTTTCTTTCTGTTTTGCAGATCGATATGGTTTGTTTGATCCAACTTGCAATCTGATCAGTCAGTACAAAATTTATTAGATTTATCGAATAGGCATGGTTACAATTTACAAAACAGAATAAGTCTTTAGCCAATACCCTCTGCACTGTAAAGCCGACAATTCCCTTTATGTGAACCAACAAATGCACCCTACAAAACAGCAGTAGAGATAATCAATACAAGCTCATTAATTTCAAGTATATGCCTGTGACAATTCAAGATATTATGTACCTGACCATCGGGAGTATAACAAACCGCGGTAACCATTTCATTTAGATCATTCCACTCCACTACTTGACGATTTGATATGTTCCATATACGGATTTTGGCATCAAGGGAGCCACTTATGAAGTAATCTTCATCTAGTGGATTGAATTGTACACAAGTAACTGTAAACCAGAGAGTAAGACATAAATCTCCGGAAAGCATAGATTACGAGAATTGAAGGACACAACTTTTCTTACCATAGTCATTGTGTGCAAATAGTTTTAGACAGCTTTGAGTTTCAATATCCCATAACCGCACGGTTTTGTCCATGGAAGATGAAAGCAATAGCTGTATTTTGGGAAAGCAATGGTTTACTTTATCAAATACCAATCCATGGTTTGCTTACATCAATGTTGGCAAGAAAGGAACATAAACTAACCTGTGACCGAGACCACGATAAGTCCAGAACATCATCCAAGTGACCACTGAAAGAGCAAATTGGTTTATCTGATAACGAGAACACAGTTTCAGGTGCATGAACATAATCTGGGATCTGGTTTGCCTTTCGACTCGATGATGAAGCTTTCCCTTTTTTCTTCTTATCAGGTTGTACTTCTACAGCTTCACCTTCCGCAGGCGATTTATCCGTGGAACCAGACATTGAAGGATGAATCGGTGTCAAGCTCCCTTCATTCATTGACATGATTTCACATTCTTGTACCTCCCACACATGAATTGCACGATCTTCCCCTGCACTTGCTAGTAAATGTGTGTCTGGACTAAATTTCATAGTCCAAATAGATCCTTTATGAGCTTGAATCTCTTGACACAAATGTAAAGCACTTAAATCTTTATGAGACTTCCCAGAATGTCTCACTTTCACCCATTGATTCGTTTGGTCATTGTTCTTCTCCTGCTTTTGATCCACTGTTCTCGGACTACTCGTACCACTACCACTTGAATCCTTCTCTGAAACCTTAGAGCTCATAGAATGTGCAACGTCTTTAATGTTCTTTAACAATGCAGCTCCTCTCTTCTTACTAACTCTCAAGCTTTTCGACACATACGAAGGGAATTTCCTAAAATCAATCGCGGTATTCGCGTTTTCTCGTCGCATAAGATCCTTAACAACAGATGAATATCCAACGCTTTTCTCAAATTCTTCCATTGTCAATTGTTTACCTGTTTGCAAATCACTAAGTCGATTCCACATTCCGTTCTCACCATACTCCTTCACGATAAACTCTTTACCAGTATCGAGATTCTTAATCAGGAAAAAAGCACTGAAACGCGTCTTTGAAACTACCGAAGAGAGCAAAACGCCATTCTTCTGACCTTGAATATGACCGTTTTGTGCGTCCGGCGGCGAAGCTCGCGTTGGTGTGAAATACGGACAGATTCTCGCACAATGAGCCCCAATCGCAGACGCGGTTCTAGTGAGACGCGATTTCGACGTTTTCCCTAACATTTCATCTTTCCTCTTTTTCTCAGCGGAAGAAGCTTCGATATCGGAATCAGATCTGGACCGTACAAGCAAAACCGACATCGATGGTGGAGATCGATTAACCTGTTGATCCACCGGAGAATTCTGATCACGCTCCTCCACCTTCGCTTCCGTTACTCCTCCTCCTTCCACAACTCGAGAACCACCTCCGCACTCTACGGCCGTAGGTTTGCTCACGCGCTGGATCGAGATAGCTCCGAGCATACTCTTCTTAGATTCGAGCCCCATTCCGTTTAAAAGCCGACGACGACGCTCCGTGATAGATCCCGGCGCCGACATCCAGATATCATAATCCGGCGACATATCCGGCGGAGGAGCAGCGCGAGAGGAGGAAGATACGTTGGAGGAAAACGAGATCCGGCAATCGTCGAACTCACCTTCTTCGTCGGAAGATGAAGCTAAATCCATAGGTACGACGGTTGAGATCCGATTAGAGGTCTCGAAAAAGTGATCGTCGTCGTCTTCAACCTCGCCCAATCCCGCCCAATTCATCGCCATCGTCTTCTTCCGTTCCAATTTCCCGCCTCGATTCGCCATATCTGTACATAGGTTTCTGAAACTTCCAGATTTTCAAAAAATTTCGCGAGTTTTTGATTTTTCTAATTCGTTTCTAATTTTTTTTTTTTTTGTCGTTGTTGTGTGATTTTGTTTTGGAGGGAGAGGAGTGGAAAAGAGAGAATCAAGGGATTCCTGCTATTATAAATGGCGGATCCGTACAAATCAAGTGTTACTTTTGATATCGCTTGATCCGACGTTCTATAATTCGCCACGTGTCTATTTATTTAAGCAGATTTCGAGTAGTAAGCCCATAGTAAAAGCCCATGGTTGTTACTTTTACATAGCGGCCCATTTATAAACATTTCCATGATTAGAGGTTAAATCTATAACTAAAACAATTTTATAACAGAGACTTGGCTACAAAATTTTCCAAC